TTTTTGTTTTTTTTTTTTTTGTTTTGTTGGATCTTTGACATTCTTTTCAAGTGAGTTTTTGTTGGCCGTTGGCCGTAATGCGATTGGGTTTGTCAACCAGAGCGGAACTTGTGCTCTGTCACGCGAATGTTTTTCCGTTTGTTATTTTCTCTGAGTACAGTAATGTATAGATTTAATTTTGCTTCTTTTTTCGGGTGCTCAATGATATGCAGAGCCATAAATCGAACTCATGAGGCGTTAAGGTCTCCGACAGTATTTTGGTTTGAACTTGAAATATATACTCGTATATACTCGTATATTTATAGCACTTTTTGACTCTTTTTTTTCACGCTCTTTGGCAAGGCCATAAAAGTTAAATGGAAGTTGTTATAATAGATATTTCAGCCCCAGCCCCCCCGGCATATCGTGGGAGCGCTGCAGGCGTGAAAATTGGAAAGAAAACTTGGAGGGGGGGAGGAAAAAGTTTCTGTAAGAATTTGCATTTTTGATGGCAGCAGCCATTTGCATATGACCGAACCAAACGATGCTCGAACGTCGTCGAGTGTCAGGCATAAGAAAAAATATATTGCTAAGTAGCATATTATTCTGAAAATCATATATATTTGCATATACAATAATACAGACATTGTCCCTAAGTAGAGGGAAACGTTGAGGTATCCACTATGTTGAAAGATAACGCCTTAAACCTGCACTAAAATTGAGATATAGTTGAAATGGAGGGGAAGTCTTTTCCCTATCTATTGCGGAATGTCATAGCTATATTAAAATGATGATAAACCCCTATTCCTTCTTTCGTGGCGGCAAATAAATTAATAAAATCAATCATATCTAGGACTACGCCATATATTCTGACGATCATAAACATAATCTAATCGGTAGCAGCGTAAAGACAATTAGTAGCCATATGGTTGCTTGTAACGCCACTTGTTTGCTTCCGCATGATGCAGAAGCGCCCCTCGGTCGGTAGTGCTGGGATCTGCGCGTAAAAAGCTTCGGCTTGGTGTCAATTCTGCCACTTGAGGGTGCAGACATTGCATGTCAACGCCCTAAAGTTCCTATAGTCATAAGAAGACCTAGTATAACGGTCTTTATTTCCTATATTCTATATTTCCTATTATCAGAATAATACTTGTAGTGTGCCTTTCATGAATTGATTCAATAACATCTTAATCTCTAACTGATACCTTTAGAAATCTATCTGAGCTTCTACCTTGATGTCTGCTGATAAACTTTCATACTAGCTCTAGTCAAAGCATTAAGCAATTGAGACTCAACTTTCTTAACTATCAGACACGTATCTATGCATGACCCCAAACAGGCCTTGGAGAAACGCCTAGGAGAGCAAGGAGAAAGTTCAATTTGGGAAACTCTATCGAGAAGCTGCGGGACTTCTCAGTGCCTAAAAGTAATTAACGCACAAAAAGCGAAAAACGGCCAACAAAAAAGGCAAACACTAATCAATTCGTTATGTAAGCAACGCCCTGCTGTTAACAAATAAATTAAATTAAATGTGTGATGGACTTGCGAGCAACTTTTCTACGTTTTTTCCTTTCAAAAATTGCTTCGATGCGGCACTCACTCGATGACGATTACGTATCGAGTAGAGGCATGAGAGGGCATAAAACTTCGATACAATTTTATGAATGAAATGTCATTGAATGGCAAATCGAAGAGTTAAGTCATCGTAGTGGGTAGTATATTTCGGTGAGTGGAAGTTCAGCAAGACAAAAAATATGATTAACGATCGATGGGGGAACAATGCAGTCAATTACAGATGAAGAAATCCCCATTGTGTCCATAGGAAATAGAGCTGGCTGGCACTACAACTATTTCCTACCAAAAACAAACCTCAAACACTTTTGGCTATCATCAAAAAACAATTTAAACAGAGCTCATCGGATCATGCTATTTTCGCAGACGAGAAGTGGTTTCAAACTTCAAGTGGTTTAAGATTATCTATCCAATCAGCCCAGAAATACTGATTAAATCCCAAAATACCTGACCTATCAATAGGTCCATTCGATTCTCAGCTCAATCTCGTTCAAGTAGAAACTCGTGGAGTACCCACAGGCTGGCGATTATACAACGGACTCCCCCTATTGGGCAGCTATCTCTGGGCCATAACAATTTTAATACACTTTATAAATCTCTGACCAACTCTTAATCTTATCTGAAAAGTGAACAGCTTAAATTTAGCCAGTCCAAAAATAAATAATATTAATTAAACTTGGTCCGTGGACAAAAACCAATGACCGAGTGCAGCAGCTTCATTTCCTGCATTTTATTCGCAGCGTAAAAGGAAAATAAATCAAGTTTACATACATGAAAAATGATTTCGGTGCGGTGGAAAAATAAAAAGAAGATGATTGCTGGCTGCTGCTGGCTGGGAAAATGTAAAGAGAGAGGACCAAAAGCTACCCCTGTAAAGGCCTCATAAGTATGTACAACCATTATATGTGTTGTATGTATGTACATAAATCTCCATAATCGGATTCATTTGCTGATTTACGTTTTCACCATTGAAAGTGTGGTCGAAACGCTGGCATTTCCATTTTCCATAATTATTATTTTCCTCAATTTAAAAATCATTGCAAAGATCAAAAGTGTAATTAACAGAGTATTATTGAATTGCTTTTTCACACTTAATATATATGTATGTGTGCACAGAGTTCGTGACAGTTGATGAATTTTCACCTTAACAGCCCCCCCCATAACCCATTAACTAGGTTTTGTACTGTGTATTTACAGAGGCAAAGGGTTACATGGTTTTGGTGGAGAGGAAGTATGGAAGAAGCAGAGGTAATACGTTGCTATTTTTAGGCGAAATCCCTAGAAGTATTACATATTTTTTAAAGCTTTGACCCTCCCTTAATTCCAGTTTTATGGCTATGGTTTTTTATTCCAAGAAAATCTCAAATAATCCGAATATATAAAGTTAGTTGGGAGATATCTTAAATGATATTTTTCCGAGTATTTAGCTCTTCGATAAAAACATATCGAATAACCAGTTCAGCTCAAGTTAGTAGCTACTAAAAGTATACGAAATATGAGCCACCAACAGCGTAAGACGATACAGAAGACAGCTGTTTAGGCCACAAAAGAAAAAGAGAAAGTAGCAAAGCAAAAAAGAGAGAGTAAACTCCACAACCCCTAAAGGATAACCCCCAGTCGAGGCCCCGTCCTGCCATTTGTTCTTCCTTGGGTCCTGCGTGTCAGTCGCCAAAGGCTTTTGATGTTGTTTGCAATTTTGATGTTTTTATTTTAAATTTTTGTCCAAAGAGCTTTCAATTTTTTCTTTGTTTTTGCTCTCCGAATTCCCGAGCATCTCTCAAAGTGGTCAATAAATTGAAAGGATTTTTTCGCTTAACACAATTAAAACATTTATAAAAGTGCTGCCTGCCATGTTTTAAACAACAACAAAAAAGCGGCACAAATTTCAAGCCCGTTCCCCGGAACCGAGCTTCATGTCATACATATATGGTCTTGTTTTATTTATTTTATTGAGTATGTAATTTCCCTGTTCCGCCCGCTACAAAAATGAAAAAAAAAGTAAAAAAAATCAACTGGAAATTGCAGAAATAAATTGACATTTTCCCCCCGATGCGAGTGGTGGGCGTGAGAGATTTCCTTCCTTTCCGGTTCGAGGAGGATTTTTATATTTCAGCAGAAAACACACAAATGGAATTTGCTGTCGGCGTTGGTCGTATAAATAAGTAAACAGCAGAAAGCAAATTCAACTGAAGACCGCGTGAGTTGGAAAACCAAAAAAAAAGAGTAGCTAAAAATGACAGAAAGACAAAATTCAATTGAAAATTGAAATAGATTGTTAATAGAAAATTTGTTCAGGCAATCGGAATGATAAGAGTCGAAGGATGTGGAGGTTTTGAGGTTTAAGATGAATGCTCTTTGAACGGTTATCTTGCGGATTGATCTTTGATCAGCAGACTATGCCTTTGGTAGCCGCTAAAACTATAAGCTAGAGCCATGGCTGCCCCCTTGCGTGCCCCCTTGCGTACCCCCTTTTAGCTTTTATCACCTATGACACACATTTGTTGAAATAATTTTCCCCAAAACTAAATGAGAATACCAAGAGGGAAAGATAAGAATAACACCTGAACAGGTGGGCCCCCATTTACAAAACTTTGCTGGCACTGAAAACTGTCACAGTTTCTCTAATAAATAACCCCCCCCCCCCCCCCCCCCCCCCGAACGCACTCCGTAAGAGACTTTTATATGACTGCAAAATGACAACCGAAACAAAAAAAACCTAATTAAAAGTTGAAAGAGAAAAAACAACGAAAAAGTGGGATGGGGTGGGTGGAGTGCGATGCGATGCGATGGCACCTCCCAATACGTGCGGCTAATTATGTGCAAAGCGAAAGATAGGGGAAAGAGAAAACAATGGCATATCAAGTTGGTAGCGGGCCATAGTTGGTGGCAATCAAGTAATTACTATGCAAGGCACAGCATACGCAACGGACATCGCGAGTAGCGACTGCCATCGTTACGGCTATGAAAGATGATGATGATCCCCCAAGCGGAAGAGGAAGAGGCAGAGGAAGCAGCAACTAAAGGGTTGGCCTAACTTTAAGTTGAGGGCCCCTTAAGATTCCTTATGAGGTAGGATCTGGCAGGCACCTTCTTAAGTGTGCTGCACAAAAATATAAACAAGTAGGTGGCACGAATAGAAAACGAAAGTAGAGCACACTTTGAAGAAGTGCAGAGGGTTTTCTATACCAAATACTTGTAAGAAGTGAGGGTTTGTTCTTGAGGAACCTGTGTTGAATCTGTTCTATATGTGGGGGACTGTGAAATATAGCATTTACACGTGAGTGATTCTATTTTCTTTGAGTTATATTATTGCTCTCTAGGCCAACAGTTTAGGAAGGAGATCTCTCTCTCTTTGAATAATATCCAAACAATTTCAAGCTATTGCCCGCGGGATACTCAACATTTTCGGGATCTAAAAGACCCCTAAGAACCCTTTTCTTAGCACTTACCTTCTCGGTGCTGGACTGGAAGTAGTAGACCATCACGAACATCCAAATGATGCTCACGAAGACAATCAGTTTAATGTTGCGACGCATTGTGGACAGCTTCGCTTCTCTTTGGACAATATATAGTAGAGTATATATCTATCTGTTGTGTGGGTTGAGGACGTATCACGTTCACTTCGGTATTTATTTAGTTACTTTTTTTCTTTTTGGTTTCGGTGCTTGTGTTGTTTTGGCAATTAATTATGCGGTTTTCACTGATGGAGCGGAAAAACAGAGCATTGAGAAGCGTACAAACAAAATGATTAATTGGCAGATCTGTTACAATTTCAATTTCAATTTCAATTTCGGTTTTCGTTCGGTTTTCTGTAATAATTTTCACCTTCACTTTCCCATTTGGCTGCAAATGTGTTTGCCGTTTAATTGTTTAACTCGGTTTAATTTAATGTAATTGTTTTTAATTAGAGCTCGGCATGAATGCAAAATGATTATCTGCTGTCTGCTGTTTTTAATACTCTTTTTTTTCACCAGGGGATTTCCTATCGATTATTTAAATATTATTTTAAAGGGAAATTCGTGTGTGTTTTTTATATATTTGTTAAGATTTAATTACTGTTGGGCAGATGATAGCTGGCTGATATGGTTATCATGGCAGGAAGGATCAACTTAATTGTGGTTTATTTAATGGCAAAAATTTTAATGGCTCCTAGCAATGCAATGGCAAAAGAATAGGCCGGAACTGTGCGATTGGCAATCTAAAAACAAGTATAAACTTAAGCTTGTTCGCCACTCCCAAACAAGTTGGAATAAATCAATAAAACAGAAAGGAATGGGAGTTACGCCTTTCACAAAATATCCATCAAATATCTAGATTGTGTCATACGATTAATGCCAAATATCTAGCATTCTACCGACCCCTCGAATGTCATTCATAGCTCGTTCTTATTGACACGTACTGCATTGTTTGTTTGAAGAATATATCTAATCCATGAATGGCTTTTATCAGAAGGTTTGCACTCTGATAAGACGCCCACAGCTACTGGCTATCTGCTGAAGCGTTTGACAGGTATTATATCACGAGCACTTAATAGATGTTAATTAATTTCTCACAAATCAATTTCCAAATTTGGGTTTATTTTTGGGCTGATGTCTGGGAAAAGGGAAAGTCAGCCACAGCTGTTGATGTGATTTCCGTGTGAGCGACTCAGAGACAAATAGGAAACATTACGCATACGCACTGATTACCCGCCGATAAGATAAGATTTTCCTTGGGTTCCCACAACAGGTGGCATTTTTTGTCCTTAATTAATTGAAGTTTTTAAGTATAATTTTCATTAATTTCTGTGTGTTCTTTCACTGTCATTTTCGAGTGTTCCTTCTGTGGGGCAAGCTCCTCTGTGGCCCGTCGTTGCACATGATAAACCACAATCACAATCAGGGGCCTACAATTGACCGGCAAATGAACGTTTTCTTTGCCATGGCATTTGTAGCCATTCAGTGGAATTATCTTTCGAGTTTATCGTGTGCCGTTGCGCCAGTCGCTCGCTCCTATTATTGCATTATTGTATTACCGTTTTGTCGATTATTGTGACTGTTGCTAGCCTATTCCGCTGCTGTCCGTGGCAGCCGCGCTTTTGCCACCAAAAAAATAATGGCTTATTTTTTGGGGCGCACACGAGACACGAGAAACGAGAAACGAGACGTACACCACACGGAACACGCTTCCAGACGGGACACGAGGCAGACGGCTTCGCACAGAGAAATGGCCCAAAAGCGCCGTGGACGGTATATTTTATGCTGCTGGCGCTTCTACTTCTGCCGCTGCCGTATAAGAGTGTGCGTGTATAAGAGTTTGCGGAGCTTGCTTGGCCGCTCTCTTGCTGTGCGAGTTGTTGCTGTTGGCTGCGTTCCCCCTTAGAATGTATAAGTTGCGTATGGAATGCGCTTTTTTGGGAGTTGCATTTCGAGTTTTTGGTAACATTTTGACACTTCTACACAGACATCATAGTGTCGAAAAAAACAAGTGTTTGTATAAAAACCGACAAGTTTTTGAAAATATTCAAAAATATATATTGACCTACAGCAGATTTAGGTGAAAATGGGACACCTGTATTAGGTACCCTCCACTGAATCAATCTGTAGTTTCTATTCCTAATTCCCCTGACCGAAGATAAGCAAATTTGTCTCCTAATTTCTGTTTAATTTGTGGGTAATTTTCAAAATTAAAATTTAAATTTAAATATTTCCAAAGTGAAATTATATTCGGAAAATCAACTTTTTGGCAATCGCGAAATCGAAATAAACGAGCAATTATTTAAGTTTGATTTTTAATGATATTCAACCTATGTATTTCTGCTCTAAATAAAACAAATATTAATGTTATTAAATAAAGCTATTAATTAATCACATTTAAAGAGAATTGTCACTCGATTTAGTCAGTCATGAGATTAAAATACTCAACTAATAGGAACCCCATCATAAAAATACATTTCAATGACATTATTTGTGCATGACTTTTACAATTTTATTTGTTATTTTTAGCACGTAATTTTCTTTGAAATTTCTATTTAAATTGGTATCTTTTAATTAAATATTTTCTTTCATTTTTGTTCCGTTTGAACTTGTTTGCCTTTTGGTGTTTTTTCCCCTTTTTTTGTGTGAGGTGCAACATGTGTGCACTTTTTCGAAATTAATGTTTACTTTTTGATTCATTTACTTTTTAGCTGAAAATTAATTATAGCCGCTTTGGCATTACCATTAGCTTATTTATAACTTTTTTACGGCGGCATGGCGTTTTAATGCATTCTCTGTGCTTTGGAAAATGTTTAATTGCATCCAATGAAATATTTATTTAAATAGTTAGAACAAATTTCAATTATGCAGATTTGCCAAAAAACCCCCAAAAAAGAGTGAAACTTTTGCCCCCGCGGGTACCGCCTTAAAACCCCTTCCAACCCGCTCACATATGCAGGGGGGGTAAAAAAAATCTCTGCTTTATTTATAAATACCGTATGTAGGGCAATCCTAAAAACAGGACAAAAAGGATGTGGGTTATGGGATGGAATGAAGAATGATAAAAAAGCGAATGGTCCTCTGGCCAGTGCGGAGAGCAGTCCACTGAAATTGGCTTAAAAACCCAACAAAGTCATGAATATGCACCACACATAGAGCGAGGAAAAGAAAGAGATACAGAGAGGAGAGTGGAGAGGAGTGGAGTGGCAGATAAGAGATGGCTCTATAGTAGATTGACTGGCCAATGGCTTGCCCTGTACTCAGTGGAGGACATTCCTGACTATAAGTGCCGCCTGGAGGAGTAAAACTGGGTGAAAGTCTACTGTTTTCTTTGTGCTTCCTTCGGTATTTATACGTCCAATACCAATTTATGGACTCAGCATACCCTGGCACTCTGCAAGTACGGAGTACACTCGTAAAGAGACAACAGAGTGAAGAATACACTCACAGACAGCACATCCATCTGCACTCGTAACAGAATAAAACGAATATTCAATTGTACGAGCATGTGCGCTCTCGTCTGGGTATTCCATTAGGCGTAATTAGAGCAGTTAGCATCGGGGAATAAGTTAAGAAAAGCCAACTGCACAAACTGGCAAACTCAGTCGGAAAATGGTCGGTCTGTGCCTGGGCCAAGCTCCCAGACAGTTAGCTTGAATATTCGCAGATGCATCTACATAAATATCTGTTATATACAAGTTCCCAGACACACTCGTACGATTGCATGATTGCTCTTTTGCCACTTGGGAAGCTGCTGCCCTCGAAGTTTTCTGCGGGGGAACTAGTTCAATGGGCAATTTGGGCGAATGACTGTAGTTCTGGAGCAGAGTTCTTAATTATTTAAAAGTATGTATCTTTTATTGGGCAAAGGATGTTCCATCGATACACCGGGAGTGCTGCACTTATATTGATGGATCATTCCCCCTACGGGAACCGTTAAAGAGTTCACCGAACTAGTTCTAGCTAAAGCCATACATCACTGGTTCGCTGGGGGTTCCGTCGTTGCCTTGAATTGACTTGTGGCTCAAGTACGATAATTAAAAGTTGGTTAAATGTTGCATGAGTTGCAGCTTCCTCAAGCTGCCGCCTCCACTTTACCTTCCACTTAAGGTGCTGCGCTGCTTCTTCTGCTCTTTCTGGTCTTTCTCCATTTTCCTGGTTTTTATGGGTGCCATGCCAACATCCATTTGATTGCACACCATTTGCCACACACAAACACGCACAAGCATGCACATGCGGGACGGACGGAAGGACGGATGGAACGTGTGCACGTGTATGACAGAGCCTCACCTCCTGCGTTGAATGGGGAAGAACTTCAACTGCATTGCACATTTAACTGTCATCTCGTTTCCTTCGTTCCATCTGTTTGGGGGTGTGTGTGTGTGCAGCCACCCTCTTTTCTCACTTCCTTATTGTACAGCTAGCTATCCCTTTCACGGAAATCAAAGTGTAAATGTATTTTGTCAAATTCCGGCGCAAGAGTATCCTGTCTGTCCTCCATTCCACTAGAGATGGGCGCGGTCGGTCGGAATTTTAGAAACCACCTGAACTAGAACCAAATAGACAATTAGAAGAACACTCAGGAAGACCAGCAAGGCACAGCCTAATTTTTGAAGGCAGTGTAAGACGTTCCATATAGGATTCTTTAAGACTGATCTCCATAAAATCTTCAGTTTCCTGCTTAATAGCTCTTCCTGTTTCTGTGGCAAATGGTATGATAAATACGACATAGAGCCTTGTAGTACATTCCAGTTCCATCTCTAGCTCTGACTCTCGCTGCTCTTTACGGAAATGTTGAAAATATTGTTGGAAGGCAAGCTTCTGCCGCAAATTAAGGCATAATTGCATTAATCACTTCGTTTGTGGCTGCAGCCAAAAGCCAAGAGTGTCTTCTTGGAAACCGCCAAAATTTGTTGCAATTTATTATGAGTAGAGGGGGGCGGATGGAGGCAAGACAGTGGGGATTCTTGTGACTGTGTGGGTGTGACGTTAATGACTGGATGACAGGCGTTACGAAAGGAGCTGATAAGCAGCACTAAGGCTTATGATTTTGTGCATGTGTGTGTGTGTGTGTGTGTGTG